AGTAAGAAGTCGTCCTGGAAGACTGGATTTGGTAAATATTGCTTAAATAATTTTTATTTCAAAAATATTCACTTGATCCCTAGACACTTTTGATGTGTGTATGTAAAAATTAATCAATATTTACGAGAAAGGCTATGCCATTACTCTTGTGTTCAAGTAATTTTTAGTCGAAGCTAAATATGGTGCATTTTGTTAAGTTTCCAGTAGAAGCTGAATATGGTGTTTTTGAGCCCTTAAATTGTTGTAAGCAAATTTAGGCATTACTGCAATGACGTTACAATTTAAATTAAATGTTTTAGTTTTTTATATTTCGTTACATCGCTACTACCATCGCTATCAAAGGATCAGGAATGATGACATTTATTCCGATTGGTCTCCTTTGACTTCAGGGGTGCCACAGGGTGGTGTACTTTCACCTCTTCTCGCTGTTCATAAACGAGCTTGCTAAATTAATTTCTCCTCCATTCCACTTACACGCAGATGACTTGCAAATTTATAGACATTTTGATGGAGCCAATACCCAATCTGCCATTGAATCTATTAATAAGGATCTTCTTGTGGTGAAGTCTTGGGCTGATGCGTTTGGTTTGCTTGTAAACCCTAGGAAATCACAGGCAATAATTGTAGGTAGCAACAGACTTTACTGCAGGTTGGACATTAATAATCTCCCCAAGGTCTCGTATGATGGAGTGAGTCTTGCATATACTGAAAACACAAAGAACCTGGGTCTGATAATCGACCGTACACTGTCCTGGAGACCACAGGTAAGTGAGGTTAGTCGAGGCATGCACTTTTCCTATCATTCTCTCAAGCGGCTTCAATTCTTCTTACCGTTCAACACCAAGGTTATGCTTGCTCAGTCCCTACTACTCCCTCTTCTCGACTATGCCGATGTTTGTTATTTGGATGTTACTGAGGAGCTGCTTAACAAACTAGAGCGCCTACAAAATCTGGCAATCCGTTTCATATTCAGTTTACGTAAATATGACTAAATTGAAATTGCTCCCAATCCGACTTCGCCGAGATATGCACGTTCTTTGTCTACTTTATAAAATTTTAAATTACCCCCAGCTTCCTCATTATCTGTGTTCCCGTTTTTCCCCCTTATCCCCCAATTCCCGCCCAAAACGCACCTGTGACACTAGAACACTTTTATATCCCCAATCCAACTCCAAATTCTTTTACCGTAAGTGCAGCTCGTATGTGGAATAAACTACCTGCTAGCATTCGTGATAGTCCATCGGTGGCATCTTTCAAACCCGTTTAGTCCCGCAGACTTTATTTTTGCACCACGGCTAGGGTTGGCTGGAAGAGATCTCTTATAGAGATAAGCTCACCTTTGTATATGTCCATTGTAACGTGTGTTTCATGTGTCTTTTCTTTGTACAATAAAAGAATATTATTATTATTATTACATGTCACTACGTTTGTATAGGTTAACCTCGGACATTTTTTTCGTGGTTTTTGTATTAGACCCGATGTTCATTTGTTGGCAGGTCAATGACATTGAAAGTAAAATAAAACAGTATTTTAAAAAAGTAAATGAAAAAAAGTTAGTACTTTTTTGGCCGACTTTTTTCAATATGACAACTGTTGCCAGTATTCAGCCACATTAAAATTACTATTTTAGTGGCGCGACGCTCAGCGGTCTCGCGTAACACTCGCCTCCGGTCATTGTTAATACTCAATCAGCCATCATTATGGAAAATATTTTGGTATTTTTAAATGTAACCCGTTGTTTTATAAAACACCCATGCAATTTAAACAAATAAGATGTTTGTTAGTAAATATAATGACGAATGACTTACGTCACAAAGCACATAAATATTAAATAAATATACAACCTCTTTAGTTCTATGTTTAAGACTTGAAACAACAGTAACTTAAAAAAAATGGAAAAGTAAAAAGCACTATTGCGAAAAATCCAACTTTCGGTACGATTTATAATATAAAAATACCACGTTTTGAGCAACTGAATTAAAAATAACTATTTTTCAAACAGGTCGATGTAGCGTGTGATTTGTTTTATATTTCAGAAAACCAGAACCTTTCGACATATTGTCACATGGAGAGATGGGTCTCTTCGTGGCGGGCCGCAAGAGAATATATCCCTTAATCCTGAAAGAAGGCAACTTTTTCGATAGAGCTACTGCTGCGAATAGTACGAGTTGTATTTTATAATTATTTATTAGGATATTAAACGGAGTGTCCAAGCATTACGTTGAGCGTGCAACTAGTTTATTACTAGGGCAGGTTGTTTAGTATATTGACCAATCGGAGTCGGCTACTCAATGGCAAACATCTTCGCCAGACGATATACAGGTTGTTTTATTTTGAATATTTGCGAATAGAGCGTTGGTAGCCTAGTGGGAGAATGGGCGCTTTTCAATCGAGAAGTGAATAAGTAAGAATGAAGAGCCAAGAGCCGAATGCCGCTACCCAGGAATTTAAAATCTCAGCTACCATATTTGTGTATGGTTAGTAACATTACTTCTCGCTATGGCGAAATTTGCACATGCTGTTCTTCTGGGATAAATAAATAAAACGCCACTTGTATATTAAACGGAGAATTTGTATGGTAACTGCCTCCGTCGCTGAACGGTTATCATACTAGTCTGTTACGCAGAGGTCCTGGGGTCAATTCCCGGCCGGGAGAAATATTTGTATGGCCTATGTTTATTTATCTCGTGAGTTCGGGTATAATTTGTGGTTATCTATGTGTGTATCCATGACACCCGCGAAACAGGATTTCCATAGTGCGGGGCTATGAGAATGTGCGTTATTATTATTATATAATTGTTTAAATACGTAAAACTCGAACGCTCAAAAGCGTTATCAAAAACGCCTTGACGCATATTGAATACATTAAGTAAACCAGCATGCACACTTACTACAACGCCCCGCTCTTCTACTGGGTATAACGCTTAACTGCACTCTGTAAAAGCTGTCACAACTCAGGACAATATATTTGTTTGTTTAGTACCGCATAACGTATGTTTAGTAGCGCAGCGTGTGAGCTCTGGTTACCCGCCGCCATACTGAATTTGCGGCATTAGAGTTTTTTGACGTTATTGATACTACGCCATGTGATTGGCAAATTTACAATTTCGAAATGCATTTTGCATAATATTAATGCCACGTGATTGGTCATTATATATTTCCTATTGCTTACTATAAGGGTCCTTTTAAGAGCATTTTGGTGTAAAACAGATAGAAAATATAGAGAGAGAAAAAGCTTTTTGTAATCGAATTTTGAATGAATCAATTGCCATATTGTAATTGCACACATTTTAGGCACACTTGACCAAAGTGAAACAATATACTATCAGCAAAGCCGACGCGTTAACTTACTTTTTGCGTGCAGGCAACGGTGGTCAGCGGCGGCCATCCGCAACTTGCTTCTTGTTAACTAATGTTAACTAATGGCGTGTTAGGGCTAGATCATATTTTTATTATTAACAAAGAGTCAGTCAGATGGGACTAGCTATAATCTCCGCTTGCACACAAAACTGTTTTAGGACTGAGGAGATTTCAACTTTGCGATAGTACATAGTTTTAACATTGATATTGACAACGCTAGCTGCTAACCAATAGATCTCTACGCAGGTGACAGTGATGAAGAGGAATCATACTGGAAGTCAAAGTATATGGAAGAGAGTAGAAAGCTGTCCGAAGAAAAGTTTAGAGCTAATGAACTAGCAAAGTATGTATAAGCTTATAAATTAGTCATGTTCCGACAATGTCCGACAGAGAACGCAGACGGAGAAACAGAAAACTGTGCTGAGGCGTCGTCCTTTTTTAACCGACTTCAAAAATCAACGGACTTCAAAAAAAGGAGGAGGTTCTCAATTCGACTGTATTTTTTTTATGTATGTTACGCGATAACTCCGCCATTTGTAAACCGATTTTGATGATTATTTTTTTGTTGGAAAGTGGGTACCTCAGAAGTGGTCCCATTTAAATTTGAAGAAAATATTCGACCTCTAAGGGTGGTAAACTAGGGACTGAATGATGTTTGTTAATGATGATGTTTTTTAGTACTTTGTGCTGAGGTTAGGTTACTATCAACATATTAGTAATAAAATCAAAGTACAGTCGTGTCTTTTTTGAAGACGGAGTGAAATGACATTTGTAGGGTTGCCAGTTTTCATACAATTTTAGTAATAAAAGATAATATTTTGCCAAAAATGACTGAATTGTGAATGTTACGACGACGTTCTAATGATTACTGATAGCGTTATTGTCCTCTTTATTCTGATAATGACAGTTGGCCTACTAGTATCGAGATCAATTTTTATTCATATACATTTTAACAAGAATAGCCGGATTTGATTATCTACAATGAATTTAAATGAACATCTTTAAAATATGTCTCGACTTTGTATTTTTCATAAACATAGTTCTAAATACAGTGTATGTATATATGAACTGACAAAAATTGATAATTCAAATGAACTTTTGCTCAGTAATTGGATGAATAATGGGTCAAGGATAATTCAAATGAAACAAATTCGGCTATTTATTCCATAAGCTTGACATTTTACTCCGTCTTCAAAAAATACAGACTGTAGAGTTACATTATGAGTATAATTTGTAAGTACATTTATCGTGTGATTTTCTATTTGATGATTTATTTATTTAATCAAATGCTTTTTTTTCTCAGATCACTTGAAAGAACAAAGCAATTATTAGAAGAGAGCAAAAAACCTAAATCGCCAATACTCCAAGCTAATCGCGCACCATTACGGTAAGTGGTAATAATACTGACGAAATTAAACTTGATTTGACTATTCATACAAATTTAGATCAGCTGTCAATTGGAAATGTTATATGAAATTTTCCAAAAGTTTATTAGACTGTCGCCGTTTTACAGAGTCAACTACTCAGAACAAAACCAAGAAGTTCTTAAAAATCTTGTCAGCAACGAAATAAGCGGAAACAATGTGAGAGTTGAACCTGAACAGAAGAAAACTGTCAAAATTAAATTTACTACTGACAGAGAAGTAAGTGCTTGTATTAGGTACTGTTTATACGTGTTGTTGGTGGTACGATAGTAGTATTTGTACCACCATCAACATCTAGGCTTAAGCCTTAATTTTGTTTGATTCGGTAGTTTCTTTTTCAACGTTTTTCTAATGGATGACAGTCGCAATCAAAAACATTATATCGTTGTATTCTATAAAACGTACATATTTATTGAATTTTGAAGTGAATTCAAATCTATGCCACTTTAAGGAGTCTCTAAACGTTGTACGTAAAAGAATATGATTATAATGGAGCTCAATACATCTATTTCAATGCAAATTAGCTATCCAAATTCATTTCGATGCCTCGTGTCTAAAGAGAAGAGTTATTATTCAGGAGATGGCAAAACTTTTTATTTATTTTAAATTTCTTATCAAGGGTGTTAATTTGGATGCATTACTTTAAGAATAGGTAAAAGAAGAATAGGTAACAGTGTGTGAATATGAAGGAAATGTGATGTGAAATCAGCCTACAAAATTTGTAATTATATTGAGTATCATTCCTTGCTTAGTAAGGAATGTGATAACGGCATAAAACTTAATTTGCTTCGTAATTGCAGTGTTTTTCCTTGTTTATAGAGCGTTTTCTCGTAGACGAATGAAATGAAAGTGTTGATTGCGCGTCCCTAATGAGTAGGTACCTGATTAGTATCATACCAAACACTAGTTTGGTAGGTACCTCCTCTCAATAATTTTACAGACTTTTGGACCTCCCCCTTTTATGACAAGAACAGTCTAAAGCATGGGTTCCCAAACTTTTTGGGTCACCGCCCAATTAGGCAAGCAAACACCTTCGTACATTTTATGTATAAAATATAGATAAATGTTATATATCTATAATGTAATGTATAAATCACTACATATTATCACTACCGCGTCTGTCTATCTGTCTGATCACGATAAACTCAAAAACTACGGAACGGATTTTCATGCGGTTTCCACCAATAAACAGAGTGATTCATGAGGAAGGTTTAAGTGTATAATTTATTTAGGTTTTGTGTAAGTTGGCTGAAATATGACGATAAATGTTGAAGATGTCGTTAAAAATCATGCAGGCTGGGCGCTTTACTGGCGTGCGCCCCATAAACTAACAGAGCTGTTATATCAAATCAATGTTCTAGAAAAATATTTATATTATTAAAAATATTACATAGTAATTTTTTAAATCGATTTCTATAAAAGTTGGCCATAAAGTAAATTCATTATGTAGTCTACCAGTATATGATGAATGCTGAGAAAGGGGCGTCTGGTACTGTAGCCTAGGGACGCAGCTCAGGTAGCGTAGCGAGAGGTACTATATAAATATTAACTGGGACCATCTTCATAACTAGATATTTATTGTGTTTTTCACATATTCACATATGGAGACTACTTCTAGATCTGCCAAGATGTTCTTCTTTTCCTATCCTATTTTGTAAACACATTCTAAATACAAACCTATATCCACTCAGCCAGTACTTCTACTCATAGAGTAGAGCCTTGACTACAGTACAGACTACATGACCTGGAGCCTAAGGCGGCCAAGTTTGCAAATCTCACTTTCACTTTGGAGAACTATGGTCCAAAGTCGCACATAAAACCAAACACAGCCGTAACTCAAAATTGTGGAATTGAGAAAAAACAATTGGAAGATTTAAAAAAAGAATACTGAATGGAATAATGGTGATTATTTTTATTTATAGATAATATAGATTTATCCTTTTATAAACGAAAATATGATAGTTATTGGTGCAGTGGTCATTCAGTAATTTTTTGAACTTTCAAATCGTGTATTCTCAATTCCACAATTTTGAGTTACGATGGTTATGATTTCTTGTGCGATTTTTTAAATTGGTGATTCAAATTCTGATTACTTGGCTAGGCTTACTTTGGATAAGATTGATGTGTCTTTGTTTTCTTAAATATATCGTATATTTCTAGATTGAGGTTGAAGGCAGCTTGTCGCAAATGGAACCGATGCTAGAGAAAATGGTGCAAATATTTAACAAATCTAACGATGCCAAGTCCACCAAATCCCAAGGCGATGTCAAAGATGGCAAAACTAATGTCAAAGATGACAAAGCTGATGTCAAAGATAGCAAGATTGATAACAAAACGAATGTCGAAGATAGCAAACCTGATGTCAAAGATAACAAAGCTAATATCAAAGCCAGCAAAACTGATGTCAATCGTAGTAAAAAGAATGTTGAAAACAGCCAAGCTGATAACGTCGTTCGTGCCGAGGTCGTACGAATCTCTTCGGAATCAAGACAATCTACACCTTTAATTGATCCAGGTAATTCACTTTACACGAACATCAGTGTCGCTTCTGCGACTTATTATTCTTAACTTGGCTGGTCCAATAAGGTATAGGATCAGTTAATATCTATTAGGACAAAATTCTCACTCCGTAGTGCATGACAGACCGCATTGGAAACAATTGGAGGAAGTCTTTATCGATAAGAACGTCGTTCGCTGTGGTCAGAATAGGCTGTTCCAAATGAGTAGATAACTGTTTGTATATAGTAGTGATGCAAGAGACCTCTGCTTTTGCCGAAGTTCCGCACGCTTTTTCACATCTGTCTCTTCTGCAACATTTATAACGGAACTTTAATCGGAAGTTTGCGACGAATCACGCACTAGTACTTGGCAGTGGAGCGCGCGATTTTTAGTATTTTTTGTTGTGCAATGTAATAAATAATTGCACATAAATTATGAAACCAAAAACAAGCTCTGTTGGAAACCATTTTGTCGAGTTCTTTATAGTATTTACACTTTCACTTCCGTTTCCGCTAGGATTCACTTTTTTATAATGACACTCCGTTGCATTGCTAATATACAAATATAAGAATGACATCGAGTGCTTAAAACAACCAAATACATATAAATTAATTACTTTTTGAATTCCGGATTTCCAAAATAATTTTATTGTATCTTATGTGTGAATTTAAAAGTACAATGTCCACATAAATAAAAACAAGCCATAGCTTGAAACTCATAAAAAATGTTTCCTTTGGTGAAGGGTTAGTTATCTACTTTTTATATAGCGCCACTAGTACGACTTTAAAATCCAAGTTCAGTTTATCTTATCCTTATGATACGATACAGTAAAACTATTTTTGGAAATCTGAAATTCGAAAAACTAATCACTATTTGTGGGTTTTAACCACTCTGTCACTCCTTGAATTTACTTGTAGACATTTATCTACTCATTTGGAACAGCCTATTCCGACAGCTGGTCATTAGACAGCTTTACATTATAAAACACACTGTCAATTGAATTGACATAATTAATTTTATTTGAAAAGAAAACAACGACACTGCGTGAAAAAATTCGTTAAAACCAAAACAAAGAAGAAGAAGAAGCAAAAAGCACATAGAGAAACTCGTAAGGTCTGCTGATCTATTCCGTAGCTTAGTTGGGAGAGCATAGCGATAGCGATAAATAGAGATAGAGCGATAGAATATAGCGTTAGGCGAAAATGTTGCTAGTTCAAGTCCAGTCAGATGGAAGAAATTTTTCTTTTGAGTTTGCTCGATCTTTGTATTAATAAATCTTTCACAAAAAATATACAAATAAGTAAAACGACGAAGTTTCATTCAATGTGAAAATGTAAGTTTCATTTGAATTAATATTTTTTACTTACTTATTTATTAACATAACTCTGTACACTAACAATTTCCGAAAACGTACATTGATTAATAGAAGATTAAAAATACAGAAATAAAATTAAAACTATAAATTACTCTTAAAATTATTATTCAATTATTATAAACACACACTTCTTTGTATAAAAATATTTTATTTCTGCTATGATGAGTAGTCAGAGCATTGACCAACGATAATGCCCTGTGAACAGGGGCACGTTGTAAAGCGGGTAGTATCAAGCTTAAATAAGGCGTAAGTATTTGTCTGGTACAGACAACGACCAACGTACCAACGTACTAATCCGGATTGTGAGTTTCGTTACAATTGTTAACATTAAAAAAGTCGAAATGACTATCGGCCATTCCCGACACAAACAACCACGGATAGTATTCATAATTTTTTTTATAACTATAGTGAGAAATTTACGTTGCATTAGTTAGTGATAGTGTATTTGTAATAAATAGCAATAAGTTTGAAAGTAATTGAATAATATATCGTTAATAAAAATACATGGACGTTTCAGAGGTACACGAGAAAGTGAATAAATTGGAAAGTGAAATCTTCAAAAAGATCGAGGAAATCGACAAGCAAGACGTAAATAAGACAGAAAATGCAAATATAACTATAAGGTAGGTCGATAAGAGATGGGGCAAACGATAACTTATTGTATCCCGTCGTAGTAGTAGAGCTGCTTGTGAAAGAGTTCGTCCGGGAAGGACTGCCACATTTCGGCGTTCCGAAGAATAAGGGTGCTGGTGAAATTACAAACACATGGGACTTGTCAACTTATTGCTCAGGGTGACGGACGTAGTGGTAGTGCCCCATCATATCTTTGCGTTTTCAAGATCTGAGGGTGCAGTACCCCTCAGATCTTGACTGCTGTGGACAGGCGTGTCGCTTGGCATCAGGCGCACGACTTGTTCGTCCCGTCACTTGGTATCATAAAATAATTAATAATAATATTAAAATAGATCTGAAACATTTCTGTGTCCCTGCATTTAAAAAAATGCATAACTATATATCGCACCCTTAGTAATATAAGGGCACAATCCAAAAAAAGTAGATTTTTGGAAAATCGCGTATTAAGATTCTGGATTCCTACATTACACCTATTTTTTCAAATAACATGCTTATGCCATATAGTACAAAAAATATAACAGAAATATGCAGTTATTTAAGTTTGATCCCATTTATTATTTAAGTCCCTATCAATTCCCAAATTTCCCAAAAATCTACTTTTTTTGGATTGTGCCCTTATATTACTAAGGGTGCGATATACAACTACAATGTACAGAAATAACAAATACATTTTGAATTCATTCCTTTATTACCATTTCAAAAAGTACTGTACAATTTTTCTATGAACACAATTGTTTAATTGGTTTTATTTATTTTGACGCTGTTGTACCGTTTTGTTTGTCTGTCTGTATTATAAAATCGATGTAAATAATTTTTTCGATATACTAATATTATAGAAGGCGTGGAAGACCAAGAAAAGTGGTATCTGAATTAGCATCCCGTACATCATTAGAGAGTTTACCGAAAAATCGGAAAATTTCAAACGAAAAGACGGCCCATCTTAACGCAGTGCCTTCAGACGTACGCAGCGAGGGTGACCGTACTTCTGGGAGACGCAAAACTATAGCGCCAAAAAAATATGCGAGTGGTAAGTACTTCATTATGCTCATCATCAGGTTGCGCATTGTAATGCTCGGCTCTCCTCACTCACCGATGTAATGATCAAATCTGAACTTATTGTTACATTACAGACGAATGCTCCCAGTGAGGCAGCGACCTAATGTTACAAATTGCATCATTACAAGTTGCTCATTGAATGCTCGGTTCTCCACTGTCACCGATGTAATGCTCAAATTTGAACTGTTACATTACAGGCGGACGCTCCCGGTGAAGGAGCGCCCTTAAGTGTACAGGCACTTACTTTATAAGTTTAAATGTTTTACTGTTTAATGTGCAATGTTTTTCTACGTGGAAAATCCTAAATAAATAAATTAAAAGTCCTAATCAGTCAAGTGCAGCCGAAATTTTTGATGATTATGGTCTATTGTCTCGAGATCTGAGTGACATTTTAGGTATACGCGTTTAAGATTCAATTTTTTTATAGCTGCGCACTAGGGAAACCCTTACATAAATTACACCCAAACTCTCGAGAGAAGTAAATGTAGGCAATACTAATATTTGTCCCGGCCCGGGAATCGAACCCGGGACATCTGCGTGGCTGACCAGCATTGTAACTTTTCAGTTATAGAGGCAGAGGCAATTGAGGATCTGTTTATGAATATAGATATTATTTATAATCCAAGTTACTTTGTCAACAGACGCGGAGGTAGTGCGAATTACACGCAAAGCTGTATCTACCGGCAAAGTAGAGTTTGTGGAAATACCAGAGAACGATCCCTCTGTCCGTTACAAATTCCCCAAAAGAAATTCAGAACACTCTAGTAGATAGTAAGTATTGTTTAAGTTATAGTTATAAGCAGCGTATGTTGGAGCATAATGATTTCTGAATGATTGAAATATATGTACATACAATACATTTGCATGTTTTACAAGCAATCCGGGTCCTGTCTGTAAAGTATATACTTATTTTCAATTTCGTGTCAAGTTGAAAATAATGACCTAATTATAAACTTTTTCATATACTCTACGTATGTGTTATTATTAAGTATGTAGTTTTAGGAAACTTAGGCCTCATAAAACGAGTCAGAATATAGCAAAAACAGACGTATATTACGCTTTTCGGAAACATTACCATTTGGTCTTCCATTATTACTCAGTATGGGAACATTAATTATTATTTTGAGCTAATCTTTACATACCGTTATTATAGTCAACATTTTAAGGTTGTTATTAATAAATAGTCACACAATAATTACTAATTGCTCTAATGTACGCTCACTTCAAAAGTCAAACATTTTGTAATAAAATTAAACATTTCATGTCTAAAACTTAACGTAATCAGTTATAATAATTATGTCAGTACACAAATATGTTTTTAATATTTATTATTCTTCCATATCACATCGATGTGATCTACGTACTGTATTATGATCTTACATAGTTATAATTTTTTTTATTTTTTTTTATTAGGAGCGCTTGTAGGTACTCATTAGCATAGTAATATTTTGTAATATTTTGATTGCATTCGAGTACAAGACAAAGATCAATTGCTTCGTGTTTTCTAATAAAGCCACACCAATCGCCGCACATGGCTTCGCTACGTAGCGGACGTCAAATCATCTTCATTGTTATCAAAATGTAGTTGAGCTCACCAACAGTGCCACATGCACACGCTACACGCGATTGTGTCGTTTTTATTTTTTATTGTGTAGTTTTTATTTCACAAGTAGTGTGGCCGGTGACGTGGTTGTTACCGCTATGTGTCTACAGAGGCATACATAGCATGAGTTGTAAAGGAGCAAACCCAAAAGTTTCACAAATTTTCCACTTGAACTTTTTTTGCCTTGTTGGGGAACAAGTATTTATTAATATTTCTATAATAATCTATTGTTTTTGTTACCGCCTTTGTATTCAAATATATTTTTGTCAATACGACTACTAATCGTTGTGTGAATGATCAATGTATTCTAACAAATATTTCCTTTACGTACACGTAGTAAAAATCAACTGTCTCTCGTAACCCCTTTTGACTATTTAAAATCTTTATCTGACAAAAAACCTAAATTGATCAATTGTAATGAAATCACTATAAATTAATTTTGTTATTGTTTAATCTTGGAGTAAATTGACGTACATTTGAAAATGATTTTAAGATTTGTTAATATGCGAAATCATTTAGGTACTTAGTCTTACAGTGTACAAAAGTACATACTATATACTTTTTTAGCCTAAGTCCTTATAGTTGTTAGTTACATATATAAATAAAATCGTTTGTGTTGAAGAATGAGAGCAGGTATGTAGTACATTATTTCAGAGACCGGAAAGGTAAGGGTTTCAGTTACAAGACACAGTGCAAACCTTGTATTACACGAGTCAGGCATCATCCCCGTTCCCGCCAAAGTATGTAATAGTGCTTTTATATAGTATATATATATATATATATATATATAAATAAAAGACAACTACTAAGGAGATATATAATAGAAAAACCTAAGAAATATAATATATCAAAATATTTGATATGTTAGGTTAGGTTGCTGAAATAAACAATATTTGATATACAATACTTTGTTTGCTATTGGATATATATTGGATCTTTAGTCTGTTTAATACTTAATTATTATCGAATAGATTTAAAATTTTGAGCAGCAGCAGAAATGAATTGTCATGTTTACTTTCCTGGTCTAGGCTGTTGAGGAGTTGTATGGTCAAACAAACGACAACTTTTGTGTGTCCTAATTTGAAAATAATGTATAAATTTACGAGTATGTTTGAGAAAATAAACATATTTTTAATTATTTAGTGTATTATTTTTTTAGCTAATACCACCCTTATTTTAAGTAGATTTCGATGTTTTATTAATTGAAAAACCTTAAATTTAATAACCTAATAAATTAGTTTATTTTTCTTTTCCTTCGTTATTTCTTCGTATATATTGGCGAGTTGACCTTTTTATGTTAAACCTGCTTCCATCAAAACAAATTCACTGTACTTAACAGCCTTTACCATGCATCTCACCCATTGCTTTGCTAACTCCTCTATTTTTCTCCTCACAGTTTAAAAAAAGAACCAAGAATCTTCTCATCTCCCGACTATTCAAGATTCGATGAAAGTACTCAAGGATATCAAGACTCCGACATCAGCCCTCCAAAGCTAATTGTAAAAAAGAGAAGGATCAACGCTAAGAGTTCTCATAGCCGAAAAATGAGAAGCAACGACCATCCTTACTTGGCAGATATTGATTCTTGCGAGTCTAATCTCTCTAATATACCTGATGTTCAAAAAACTTTCCCAAATTCCAATCACAATAGTGAAGTGTACAGATCAGAATCATATCAATTGTTGATGCCTAAAACTAGACCATTTAGGCAATTGGAGAAAATCGACGAAACCAGGCCTACTAAATGCGAGGTCAATACTGAAAATTGCGCTAACCCTGAAGCAACTGCAAAACCAATAGCACTATTAAATGTCGATGTTGATTTCAAAACTGATATTCCATCATGTGATACTAGTGCACCAATTACAGGATCAGGAAGTTTAGGGGGCAACTCTAGCAACATTTCTTTTCCACTATCACCTGAACTATCGATTGTAGAAAATCTTTCCCTTGTCAAAGACCTGATTTCTGACAGCATTGGATATCATCCAACTTTGAATGCAACGCAAGCCAGCGGTCCGACAGATGCTATTAATTATAATAAATACTTGATTTCCGATGTTGATATATCAGTACCTCTTATGGCTCAAAATTGCGAACTACTAAAGAATCAAGTGGAAAAATATGAGAAAGCTACTGTTACTGAGTCGATGGTGAACATACGTTCAGTTAACATGGAAGAACCACTATCATCTGATTCCCTTGATCAAAAACTACAAAACTTATTGATCGAAAGTGCAAAGAAAATAAAGAAGCACTCCGATGAACCAACTGGATATAACCTTATGGATGTTGACCCTACGCCAAAAAAGGTGCAAACGAAGAGAGCTAAAAAACGATGTTCGACTCCATGTAAAAGGAAAAGTTCTAAAATTACAACGCCTGACGCTGAAACCCTAGAAGAACATACAACATCTTGCTCTTACGGAGGTAAAACTGTACGTCTTCCAACGATTAACATTGTAGCAAGTGACGAACAAATTGATAATAACAATCTCAATGTGAGTGATAAAACTGTTGTGACCGACAAAACTAGAAGGAGGAAGAAGGAAAATATTATCAGGGTGAAAATACAAAGACCGAAACGAACTCGTGGCAGTGGTAGAATTTCTGTTTGCACAGACAGCGGAATCAACGACACTGAATCTGGAGTATTCCTTCAAGAATGTTATTGTTGCAATGACTCCGTTAACCTCATCCATAACCATTCAGACACTTGTCTCCAAACTAACGAATGTCTAGGAGACAGCGTCGAATTTATAGAAAATAAAACAAAATCTGTTATTTTGATACATGATTCAATCTCCATGGATAAACAAATTGACTTGAACAGTGGTAGCACAAGTTATGATGATCTTTTGACTTCTCGGATGTTTAACAAAGATGCTCAAGATGATGTTAGTCAGAGTAATGGTAAGTTAATTACACCTATTTAATTTGAAGTCATATTCACATTGCATAATTTTGGTGTGATGGTCACGTCATAGTTTAAAAAAATAACTATTGTATGCAAAGACGCGCGGACTTCATGCATCTATGTGGGCTAACTATAAAACTTTGTAACATCCTTGAATATTTGCTTGCAGTTGTAAAACCGCTAATCCACAGCGACAATATCAGCAGTACAACATCTTTCAATAACCCATGTTCCAGTAACCAAACCTTCAACAGTCTGTTAACGGAAGATTTGTCTGAAGACGTCCCAGTTCACTCTAAACCAACCAAGTGGTATCTTTTAAGCGAAGATGAAAGTAACACTAATTTTATCGATGTGCCTTTACAAAATAGAAACACTTCTGGTGATGGCGCCAACTTAAACCAGATATTTCCATTGACCTGTGCAGTTCCTAACCTATCCACCATATCGGAAATATCCAAAGAAAATGATAGCAGAAGATTTGTTTTCGAATCTGATTTGGAAACAAATAGCAACTGCCCAAGCCATGTGGATTAGAATAAGTAATATTATAAAGTATTGATATTTATAGTATGATTTAATTTCATAAGTATAGAGTGCTCTTGGAACTTTAAGGTTGATGTTGACGATCGTTCTTGCGTATGCGGCTTAGAATAGAATTTCAATCTTATGGTCAACCGTGTCCTTCACCCTGTACAAACTTCACGATAAATGCTTTTTCTTTTTCAATTATTAAAGTTTTTTTAGGATATTTGCGTTTCATTCAAGTGCAACAAAAGAGATTGGATCTTAGATGCTGCAAGAAAAGACAGGTACGCCGAACGGGTCCTCGAATATGTTTATAAACCTCACTCGTAAGCTCAATACGAGCAGTAGGGTAAGAATGATTTTTGGCTAACTAGTCTAATAAGCTAGTCCTCCTTGCTTCACTCTCAGGGCCCACAGTAAAATTAGGAAGCAGAACATTGTTTACAAAAAAAAATAGTCATTATCATAGATTATTTATATAATTTTATTGTGCTATTGCAACGTAGCTGGCAGACTGAGAGAAGCCCTACTATATCTTTCTAATTTGTGAGAGAAGTCACCACAGCATTTAAATCCTATTCACTGCTAGATTCCACAAAAATAGTTGCATTTAAATATTTTTTAATTTGTTTCTTGGGCTAGGATTCAAGTATTCAAGATCAGACGAAATATTAAAGATAATAAATACATAGGTACATATATTATGGAAAGTACAGCTTGGTAAAAAAGAGTATGGATTTAATGAGGGCGCCTAGATCAAATATGTGGCAACCCGATATACTAAGACGAAAAATGTTTAGATACTTGTTATTTTTATTTATTGTTAAAGGCTTTTAGCGCCCAGACACACGACCCGAAAACTTTCTTGGTAGGCAACAACATTTAAATTTCTCGGAATAATACAACCGCACGTTGTCCACGCGGTCGCCAAGTGGACGAAAGCTAAGCCAGCCTCGTATGAAATTCTCTAAACTCTTCTCTTATTTCCAAAATGGGATGAATCCAAAATCATCTCACCTCTTTTTTTTCTTCTTTGCATTATTTGTATAAGTAATAATGCAATAACAACTTGTTTCTTTGTAAAATAGTTAAACTTCGCATAATTTTAATAACTGGACGAACCCAAGTCGGCGAGCAGTAAAATGGTGAAGTTTTTGTTTCTTGAAAATTCTGAATTCAACATGTAAATTCTAAATAAATAAAGCGTATTTTGTTAGAACAGTTCGGTCTCTAAACACGTGAACTCCGTCACTGCGTCACTGCCGCGCGGCGGCGACATACTCGCGTCAAATAAACGCGCCCTTAGAGTTAATTTTCAATTACCATCAGACTCGATCCATCCACAGTAACAACATAATATTATATAGCAACATAATATGATCCCTCACAGAATTATTTGTTTTTATAATTTAAATGACCTTTTTCCTTCTTACTAAGGGAGATTCGAGCAGGTTTAATAATTATAATAAAATAAATAGGATAAAAGGGAAAATGAACCATTTATTGTTTGTACAATTTATTCTAATAAAACAAAATAACAATTTAAAATTTTTTAATAAATACTAATTTTCGGATCATATCGCGGTTTTTTTTTTAATTTTAAATCAATCAGATTCCAAAACACTTTCATCGAGATATTCCACCCCAGAAAACTCTATTGTATCTTGGCTAGACGTTCCGGCAACCACAAACTCATCTGAATCACATGAATCTGAAGTGGTCTTGCTACTGCTCTCATCTCTGACGTTAATAACCAATTTTTCAATGTCGTCATACATAGTCATACCCCTTTCATAATACTCTTTTTCAATTTTAATAACATGTTGGCATGAATTTTACCAATCTTCGGCAGTAATTGCTTGGAATGCTTGTTCAGCTGCCATCTGTCGGAATAAAAATATCATTGATTATGAGTTCAACTTAATAACATTAAGAAAAACGAATTATGAACTAGATCCCTACCTTTATGTCAATGGACCCTACATTGACAGAGGCAATTTTATGTTTTGCAATTCCCCATATCAATTCAATAGGATTGAGGTCACAATGATATGGAGGCAGCCGTACCACAGTGTGACCATGATCCCCCAATATTTGGTCAATTTCATAAAGGGCCTCTGGTTTGTGGCGTTTTACAAGCATTAACAATTCAGGTTTACGCATCATTTCATCAAATTGTATACATATTGTTTTGTAGCATCCACAGCTTTACATCAGCAACTTTTGTTGCACTGGTTGGGGCCTTATTGATGACTACCGAATGGTAAGGAGCATTGTCCATAACAATAATGGAAGGCTCTGTCAAATTGGGAATTAATTTCTCGGTAACCCACTTAGTGAAATTTGCTCTATTCATTTCAGAATGGTAATCTTCATTCTTGTTTGTGCCACTGAAAATTAATAGTGCATTTGGAACAAACCCCTTTTTTTATCCCAGCATGCACAATAATATATCTTTTGCCTTTAGATATATTGTGTCGCACTCCACTAACTTCAATTGATTGCCAACATTTTTTAAGCTTGTAAGATGAGTGTACGTAGCTTTCATCCAAAAAAATAATTTGTTTTTGGAGTTCTTGAGGCAAATTTCTATTATGCATTATAATTTTTAAATATTGTTCCCTCTTTGCTGCTATATTAGGCTTCTCCATTAGTGCCGATCTGTCTGTTTTACATTTTTTGTAAGAGAAACCCAGAGAATGTAACATCTTTCTTAGATGTTCACGGCTTCCATTAAATCCTAAATCTTCTTTAACTACAGGTAATAAATTTCGTAGTGTAGGCACCTGAGAAAAAAAAAAATAGTTTTTATTTATTACATAATACTGTTTTTTTATTGAAGAAAGTGGCATTAATATAAAATATAATACATGCCTGTTTTTTTACCGTGTAGAAGAAATGAACCTTTTGTCTAATTGCGCAGAGGTCAAAATCATCGAGATCTTTCTTTGGTCGACCTTTCCTATGTTTACCAGGTGTAGAAAACACGCCATTATTTTTTTCACCTTCTTCAACAATTTTTCTTATGGTATTGACAGATTTACCTAAAATAAATACCAAACATACACAAATATACAAAAACACCAATTTATTTGAATTTTAAGTCTTGAAAGAATCAAAAATATTAAGTCAACTTATAAATGATACGTAAACATAACCTTAGTTACTATTTTGTCAACTAAACACAAAAACTCGTTAATTGTATATTATAAGTAGTGCAAAGTGCGTAATTCGACATGTAGAACGTAATAATAATTGAATAATTTGCATAAATACCTCATATCGGCTGTTCTCTGATAAACATTGTTAATTTCAGACAAAATTTGTCCCGCTTGAGATTCAGCCAAACATCGTAAAAAAAACTTGGTATATCACTGTTTTACCACTACTACGAATCGTTTTGTTCATTTTAAATAACAAAACAAGCAACAACCGTACGAGAATTTACAGAACTTCGTATAAAATTACTCAGCGCATACAGCAATAACACAAAAGCTACTGGTTATTTGACTTGACACCACTGACATTTTTAATAGTGTTGCCACAAATATCTTTTTTTAGTTCCAGTTTTCACCGCGTCATACTCTTTTTTGCCAAGCTGTACAAAGAACATTGGCGAACTCCTGTACAAAAATTTTTGTTGACCTAATTTGTTTGCGTCTGTTTACGAAAAATATGTAAAAGTATAGGTTTTAAATTCTTGAATAATATATATCATGCCCATAATAACTCTGGAACAAATTGTTTTTGTGAAATATGCCATCTATCTCTAAAATCGGGAACTTTTGTGTCACTTTCTCGTGTGGCATATTTGGAAAAGGATTTATCAACTTTATTTTCTGTTATAAAGTAGTTAGTATTAGAGATTACTCTAATTGCAAATCGGTCGAATCAGTACAGTATATTACGTGAACTAGATGTAGACGGAACTACACATAGGTATTAAAAATCTCTTACAGGTCAGGTGTCGCTTAACGTTAAGAAATTAAGAAACTGACAGTTGTAGATATCAGTCTTGTCATAATGTATTAGATACAAAATAAATAATTTCCAAATTCTAAAAACATTGCGGAATTGAAATTAATTTAATAAAATAGGGTTAAATTGCAAATTCAATGTTTTTTATACTTCAAGTTTATGCTAAATATACGTTACAATTTTTCGCTTCTAATGGACTCTCGTCAGTATTTCTCATTTACCGCCCTTAATTACACAATGTATGTACTATTTCTCAACCATACTCGAAAATGTTTGAATAATTTTTAAAAAAATGAACACGGAAAGTTTGCCATTTACAAACCGTGCAACTTTTTCCCAACCAAGCCCTGCAAAGTATGTATGAAAATCCATTACTTTAAATCTATCTACTAGCAATGAACTATGTTAACATTTAACAGGCAAAAAAACTCATACATCCAACTGCCCTGTGTTCGTAATTGCGAGAACTAAAAATACCTACATGTACCGCTTACTTTTTAAAATAAAAAGAAAAGGGCGGTAAAATAAGTGCTTTATTCTTTTCTGTTTTTCGTCTTTTTCATGTTTTCGTCGCGAAAATGAGTTCTAGTGAGAAGAACTATTACGAAAATACAGTAAATAGGTACAAATTGAACCACATCATCAAAAGTACAGCAGACTACTATCAATGTGCCTGGAAAAACAATAACAATTTAATTTAGCAATAAATTGTCCTTACATTTCGTATATTACTTTTAATTTTAACTAATACTTATTTACTTTTTCTGTTATGCATCTTTTTTTCGAAAATTAATTATACACGCCTCGACGGAAACGGGAATTGCTGAACTCATATTAACACAACTCGCTGGTGCTCGGCCTTGTAACTCATGCTCGTTCAGTAATCCCTGATTTCCCGGCCTCTGCAATAATATACTAAATTTAAAAACGTGAAACTATATTATTGACCCCTGAAAAAACACCAAAATGAACGACAACAGCGGCAACGCAGTGAGTACTTCCGGCAATGAGATGTGGGTCTCATTTATATTACGTACTTTTATACGTGATGTAGTTCTTACTTGCATAAAGAGAGGGCGCAAGTGTTTCCTACAAAATCGCCGAGATAGGTCTCTTTTATATTAATCACAAAATTAGACAAAAGAAATAAAAATACTGTATCTGTGGCAATGATCAAAGAGAATTTGTTGTTACGGCGATAAATTGTTACGGCGTATGTTTGGATTGTATTGTCAATAGACTATCTTAAATTGCCTTTCCTTCCAAAAAATGTAAATTTCCACAATGCCAAGAACTCTGCCTTTAAGAATAAGTATTCGAGACTGTTTAGTTCTAGTTCTTTTAGTTATATTTAATACTATTCACATAACAGATATGGGTATGTTTATAAATTCAATATAGGACGATTTTTTGTTTGTTCTGTACATTTCATTTTTATTACACGATTTATTTACAGCCAACAATAACATGGACATACCAAAAGAGAAGAAATCTTCAAAGGAGTCTAATGACAAGTCTAGTGTTCGTGGGGACACTGAGGATTATTTAAAAAGTTGTCCTAGTGAACAAGACAACATCCAATGTACTGTCTTAGAATATCCTTGTATATTTTGTAACAGGACCATTGACTGCATCTATGGAGGATTTAGCAATTATTCATGTGAAGTGAAAGCTAAAGTGCATTGCAATGTAAGTATTCCAAATAAACCCTTTTTATTAAATATTTCTGCGTCACTACTGTTTATAAATACTGTTACAATGTATAGCCAACAGCACGTCAAGCTACACATCTTGTACCATTGCACTGGAGGTGATATTCAAACAAAAGTATAGCTTGGTAACTGTACAAGTGAAATATTTCAGGGTTCTAGAACCTTCAACAGGACTGCAATATGCAGATTTTGCTACCAAACTGAAAAGTGGGAGCATAGGTGTGACCAAAAAGCGAACTGCAATTCTCTAGCTTCTCCACTAAAGTATTACTCGTAAGTAACCCACAAGCGTGAATCAGAACATATAAACATTTTGTCAACTTATAATAATACTGTGACTTGTTGCAGAACTAACTGTACTGTTTCGGACGATGTTATTTGCCTTGGAACCAGAAGATTCATAAAGAAAATCCTATGTTCATGGACTGCAGGCACACGTTGGGGTACTGCTCTGATCCTTGCTTTAACTCTTGGGGGATTTGGTGCAGACCGGTTTTATCTAGGTCACTGGCAAGAGGGTATTGGAAAACTCTTTAGTTTTGGTGGCCTAGGAGTATGGACCCTTGTGGATGCTCTTTTGATTGGAATACACCACTTGGGCCCAGCTGATGGATCACTCTATATTTAGTTAATGTATGTACATAGACATTGTAATATATAGGATAATTTATATAATAAAACTGTTTTCAATATGTATAATTTTTTTTATACAAAAATACAATGATAATTTTACAAAAACAAACAATCACATTTTCGTTTTTTCTGTACTTAGTACTACTTTTCTATGCAGCTTTAACAATATTTCTTTTACTTATAGTGTTTGTATACTAGTTCAACAAGTTGTGACTTTTTCAGGCCATTCAAAGCTAGTTTTTCTGATGTAACTATTAGTCGTAACACATCTCTCAGTTGTGCCACTGTATATTTGTCAACACTTTGACTTTCAACCCTGTATTTCAAAGTTGACTCGTCAAAGTCTTCTGTTTTTGCTTTTTTAGGATTTCCACCTGAATCTTTTGGTATAGATCTCTTAGGAGCAGATATTTCAAATGGCCCAAATAGCTCTTCAAAACTATCTGCATGAATGTCTTCTAATCTGTCATTGCTAGGCTTAGTAGTGTCCACAAATGGTTCAAGATCATCTTCCTCCAAAGCAATTGCTTCCACAGCTCTGTACTCACATTGCAATTTTGGATTCTCAAACATATCTGATTTGTAATCAAACTTTAGTGTTTCCAACATATCTTTCATGAGGCCTTTTTGCTCTCTTGAAATTCCTGTTTCCTCATCATCCTCAACTTCAGGTAGGTCTCTTACATTTTCTACAAAAGGTATATGGATGACATCAAAGCCAATTTCCACATCCAGACCAAGAGGATGTGTGCATGGAGCAAGAGCTACTATAGAAGGCTTAGCATTCACCCTTGTGCTCAAAACACTAATTGCAACCATTTTGGTTTCAACACAAGCTTGATGCATTGCTTTAAATGCCACTGTAGATCCTTCAATAATACTGTCATTGGGAAATAAGAAATACCCTGTCTTTAAAAACCATTTTTCTTTACACATTATATCCGTTGGCTTGAATCCCAATAATTTAATCATTGGAGGGCCAAATGGGTTTTTCAACATCTTCATTTCTGCATCTGTGAATTCTACTCTCTCACCTCCAAATTCTTGGTAATACAGTGTTTCTGATTTTAGCAATGGCATTGTTTTTAGGCCACTATCTTCTCCGTCATCAACCTCCATAGATGTTTCATCATTATTTGATTTACAAACTTTTACTGCTTTGGTTGTACTCTTGACAACGGCATTATCTGTTCTATCTAAGTTGGTCTTTTTGTGCTGAGTTTTAGTTGAGAGTTTGTAGACCGCAACTCCAATAGCAAATCCTTCTTCAATCTGAAATTTAAGCTTAGCAACAGCCAAATTTCTATGGCTTTGCAAATGCATAATTTTCTCAATTTCCTTTGCATCCCATATTGGTTTTGGAATGTCAATGTCTTTACCTTTGTTTGCTTCTTTTAAAAATTTTGTATAAAACTCGTGTGCTTCATATTCATCTTCAGCAATGTTAATGATTCTTATATCTGTGTTGAAATCCACTAAATCTCTAACTCGTATTAATGTCGGTTTTTGGTCAATTGGTGCGACGTCAATCCTGGTTAGAATAATAATAGTGCGAGATAACAACTGCTTCTTACAGTTTCTGAACATTATACTGCACGCCCCCAAAGCATCAGACATTTTCAATTCTTTTGGTGGCTCATAACTGGAAACATCTACTTCGCGAAATTTTTTGAAGTCGTTGAGGTTGGGAGCAGTTAAGGGTATTAAATCTATAACGCTTTTTGTTCCAAACGCTGAAACGCTCACATCTTCTGTACCATATAAGCAAACCCCAAGTAGTACAGAGCTTGATGACCTCAAATAATGTCGCAACATTCGACATGTAGCGACATGAGCCACTGTAGCGGTATTCTTATCAAATACATTCAGCAGAACAACTACACCAGGTACACCCTTCCACGACGCAATTTCTTCATCATTATCGTCACTTAAATCCATTTTATATACTCAATGAATGCCGGTCCAGAGTAGTCAGACTAATGCAAGGAAGTGAAAAAAAATATAAAACATAAAGTGTGATTTATATAAAATTGTGAAGTCACCGACACACAGGCAGAGTATTTTGTTTCACAAATTATCTACTATTGCTACTGCTACTATGATTTTGTTTGGCGGCAGTGCGCTGTCAAAAAACTTTTTAGCATTGGCTACAAAGACATCTACTTAAAACAAAACAAAGGCTTAAGTATGAAACTCAATGTAATTTGCTTGTTGTAATTTAAGTTCATGTTTTAATTTCATTAAATTGTATCGTATAAAAACTATAACCATAAAAATCCGCTATCCGTAAATAAAAAAATCTCTTGAAAATCCGGAAATCAGCAATAGCCAAAATCGTTTGACATTTTCGTTTTTAAATAAGGTTTAATAGTGTTTAAAAAAAATTCATACTGCATGACCGGTGTTTATGGTTTTGTATGCTATAAGGTCCATACCGTCCGGCTTCATCACGAGCACACCCCGGACTCTCCATACAACAGCCGATAATTATTTGCCTGCTACTGCTACATACAGCAAGGCGCTATCTGCACACGCGCAAATGTGTGCGCGTAACCCTGCCAGGGTTACCCATCACTTGCTCGTACTATTAACATAGCGAAAATTGTAACACGAATTTTATATTGATATAATATTATATTTTTCTTTAATTTACTAACTATAATAATATTGATAATTTATTTAAAAAAGTATATTAAAAGCGCTTAAAATGTTATATTTTGAACAGGTACCTTTAAATAAGGTAACCAAGGCATTTGAAATTGCGTGTCCAAGTTTAACATTACCTACTTAGAATAATAACGCATAGAAACCTAGTCCGCACACGCTAAGTGAGGCAAATTGAAGCGCTCCCAAAGGGCCTACACGAGCGGGCGGGCCTTCAGTGCTCAAGGTCAACTTGCACCGCGAACAGATCAAGAATTTTAGCTAAAAATGACGAAATGTGCGGTAAATGAGTGTAAAAATACGTCAGACAAACATAAAATAGATACTAACATCACATTCCACGAGAAGTAACCCTTCAACTTGTAATAAATATTCACTAAAACCGAAAATTAATTTCGTTGTAACAAGACACGAAAATGCCTATACATGAATTTGATTTTTGCCTCACTTGTGACAGTTCGTTTGGTATGAAACTATCCTTCTATGCATTGACTTACAAATAAATGGACGACGGGTCTAATACAAAAACCACGAAAAAAATGTCCCAAGTCAACCTATTCGAAATTTAAATTGTAATGTCATCGCAGTATCGCGCTGTCAGTAGAACAAATGAAGACTAAAGCGGAGTGTGGCGCTCTGTATACGATTTTAGCGCCTTACAAGTGCGCACACTTTTTAGCGCGGACCCGACGTCCATATAATTGTAAGTCAATGCTTCTATGCGTTATTATTCTGAGATTGCCTAGTTAATAATTAGGTATATTCACTACGTAATATTTATCGGCAACACATGTTGAAAATCCGAGAATCCTTGTCGAGCTCACGAAGTTATGGTGTCTTATTATAGTGATATAATAAATCTGTATTATATATTACTCTGCACCAAAGAAAACAGTAACTGAATGAGTCTAGAGTCGTATTCCAGAACTCTACTCAATGCTCAACTGCTCAAGTCAGGATTGCACTGGCAACACAGGCAATGCTTGAAATCTATCTTGAAATCATACTCAAGTCGTAACTTGAGCATTGAGTAGAGTTCCGGAATACGACCCACAGACATAAGTTTTTTTACTTACTTCGTTTCATCTTTCAGAAAACGATAGAAACTCCCTTTATCCCATTTAGATGATTATAAGCAGCCGTACACAGCACAATTCACGACCATCATAAATAGTAACGTAAAATGATGTTATAAATTAATGTACAAATTTCGTAATGAATAAATGAAAACTATATTCAAATATCAAAGCCATCTGAGGGTCGTATTCTAGAACTCTACTCAATGCTCAAGTCAGGATTGCACTGGAAATACAAGCACTGGAAATACGACCCTAATGGCAGGGACTTGGGTATGATTTCGAGTGCTTTAAACCATACTCATATCCTGACTTGAGCATTGAGTAGAGTTCTGGAATACGACCCTTAGAGCGAAAACGGCTCGCCGACAACCTTGTTCTCGTTCAGTCAATGTAAACGTTAATGTGCGGGACGTGGTGCGGTATCTAAAGCCAGAGAGGTGCGGAGAGTGTCCGTTTTCGTTACTTATTTGTTCTCTGTCACGAGTAAACTTAGTAACTTATAGGGGGCATTTATATCCTGCATGGCAGTCCGCCTAGCCGCCTGCCGCGTAATGCTCATTTATGAATGTAGTCGCAGCGTGCAAGCCATCCTGTAGTCCTGCAATGCGTCCTGCAAGGCTCCATACGTGGGCCATATGCAGGATAGTGTGTGAGCAGTCTCCTGTCTGCGCGGCAGACTGCCATGCAGGTAGTGAATAGGCCGTTTTACACTAGGTGTTTGTTTTCTAATCCGTTCCCTTGTTCAACAAATGCTTTAAAAGTAACGACATTAAATTTAAAACAGGGGTCATGTAGGGAAAGGTTAATACTTCTACATGTTGTCGCTGTGTCAAAAAGTCACTTTTAAGACACTGGGTGACGATGAACTAGCCGACATCATAAGATGACTATATGACTTCCTAGGTCTTCTTATTTCACCCTTTTTATGTCTCCTTCGAAGTATTTTGTAAACTGATATGCAAGTTACATTAAAGTTTCAAGTCACCGTTCAAGCATAGGATAAAGGGTATAGTTATATACGTATAAGTATGATTAATTTTGTGAATTCTCACAATTGATTATCTAAAGATGTCGTTACATACGCATAATTAAGAAGTCTTTGCTTTGCGGTGTAAAGCAATGATGGCACTTGAAGTCATGAACAAATATTTTAATTCAAACTCATCACCACTTTGGTTATTTATAACAATTGTAACCGTTATTTATCTATATGAACAGAATGACTATACTCGTCTTGTGCATTCTGATAAGCAGAAAGCAGCATTCGTCTGTGTCATTGTCATTAAACCCCCGATGTAACCATTAACTCCGATTGGCAGCATGCGACTGCAATAATTGCTCGTCCTTTATTTCCTAGATAAGCTAGAGCGAGAAAAGGCGACTGATTCCAAGGCTGACGTAGGGAGTAATTAGTGTGTCAGGGAGGCACCGAGCGGCCGGTGGATGCGCGGTGGAGGCGGCGGCAGGTCGTGAGCCTGCGCACTGGACGCGGCGCGCTGAGCCTGCGCGGACAGTCATTCGTTCGCGGGCACACGCCGCGGCGCCATCTCCACCAGCTCGCCCCGCGCCCTCGTCCGCGACCGCCGCCACCGCGCGCGTAGGCCCCGATCGGCCCCCGGGACGCGCTGGTCGAGGCTGAGCTGGCGCTGGAGCGCGACCCCTCGGCAAGCAGCACGCGTGCGCTCGCTCGCGCGTGCGCGGCGCCACCTGCGCGCGACGACGGGCCGCGAGCATGCGAGGGGCACGGCGCTGCCGCGCGTAGCGAGCCAGGCCGTGCGCGCCATCGCCATGGGCTGCGCCTCGTCCGCCGAGGAGCGCGCTGCCATCGCGCGCAGCAAGCAGATCGAAAAGAACCTGAAGGAGGATGGCATCCAGGCCGCTAAGGACATCAAGCTGCTGCTCCTTGGTAACGGAGCCTTCCTCTATGTCTTTCCGGTAGCTGGATGCGCGCGCACTCTTAGCTGAGCTCTATCGATGCGGCGCCCGTGCGGCGACGTTCGTGCTGAAACGAACTTAACGACCATCTGGCTGGCCAGAAAGTATTGACTCTGTGAACGTAGGGCTCATTAAACCTTCGCCAAAATCACATTATAAACCCTGAATGGAATATTCTAGGATGGTTGGTTATTGACAACGCTGAAAATAGCATTGCCTATGTAGGTACTTAAACGCAATTCAATTCAATAAAATCAACACAGGGAACAGTTTTAAGATAAAGTCTATTGAATTTAGAATTAGAATCAGATGTCTCTCAGGCCAGCAGATTGATTTTGATTCAAATCAGAATCGAACCGATCGGGTAGCCCATCTGAATCTCGAAATCGGATGGGTTTCCGAGCGAGAAAATAAACCTGAAGATAAATCTGTTGCCTGTTGTGGTCAAAACATGAAACTGTACCTAAATGCCTTGTTGTTTATTGAAAAATAATATCAAGTAGACCTATTAGGATATAAGGAGGGTTTTATGTGAGCCAAAACTTAGAATACGCTAAATATTATATTTTCCTAGGATTATTTTACTCGATTATATCTAGCAATAAATCCAAACCCATCACTACCAATACTTATGATCTCATTGTAGTATGGGTATATAAGTAACAATAATATAAACTGCCAAGTCTGAACATAGTTCACCTTCTGTTCAGTTCTGAACATGATCGAAAAGATATACGATAGATAAACGCGCTCTGCGAATAGAAAATCACAGAGACACGGAACAATATGAAAATCTTCATGTTGATAATACCACTTACTTTACGTGTGTTCGATTTTAAAACCGAATCGTTGCGTGTGCTTGCATTTTATAGATGCGATCAATAAAAACTATATAGCATATCTCTGCAACCATATAATATATGAAAAGTCTTCAAAAATCTATGTGAAGAATATCAGCTATTTTTACTATACTTTGATAAGTTAGATCGTGGTAGAAATTAATCCTCTTCCGGAATTATTGGTAAAGGTAGATACTTAATTGAATAATTCAATAAGAATCTACCTTTAGTAATAATTTATATAGTAGACATTTCGATGAATTCGTTGTATTTTTAAATAGTAGTTTTTAACCAACTACAAATATGATGAATGATGAGAAGAATGTTATTTGGTGTCATTTGAGCGATTTTCTGTTCGAATCGTTCTGTTCGTATGTGTTTAGGTGACACAAGACAATTTTTACAAGTTCCAAAAATACATTTTCTATATAGGTACCTCCATGAGGTTTTGTTTCGTAACGTTGTTTACGTGCTAAGTCATTTGTCTTATCGTGGCTGCTTTTCTTTTTTGTTTCTATTCAGCGTGGTCGACAGAAATGTCGAATACAATAATATAATATAATGTACATTGTAGTAATTAGTGTAATAAGTCCTGTTTACGAATATTTATGAATATTACCACTCCGTAACTTCCCGTGGGATGGCCTCCATGAGTGAACTACTAGAGCGACTTGTTAGTCTTGCGTTGGTCGAGCTGTGGCTGTTTACTTGAACGTCGTCACAGTGCACGGCCACGCTAAGATATTATAGGTATAATCCAGGAGGTAGTTTAGCCACTGTTAGTACACGTGTCCTTCCCTACGTGTTATATACGTATAATATTGCAGCTTTATAGCGACCTCCAACCTACCTGATAAGCACGGCAAATTTTTGTGTAGGTAATTCTGATAGTGATAACTATGAGTTAGAGACCCTGTTGTATAAAAATAGCAATCCCGCATATAGGCGTTAATATTGTAAAATAATGCATTTGAGTCGGCACGAATATTACATTGCTTAACTTATTCTTTACTGATATACTGTGCAGTTATCAATTATAGGGAACGATTTCATATTCATTGAGGCGTAATTGTAATACTAACTAACAGATTTCTCATAGTGACGTAAAATAATACTTGCGAAAATACAACCAAAAAATAATACAGTCTGTGAGACAACTAACCACAGACTTAACATAATTTCGTAGCAACACAGTATCAAAGTTATTTTCTATTAAAATGGTTTCCAAGAAAACGGTATGAAGTTTTAACATTTTTTTACAAAAACGCGTCCAAAAAACCATAGACAACAATAGACGTTCGATTTGAGCTTTGAACACATTTTGCTTTTGTTATCTTTCGTGTGTGAATCTACTTTCACGCATGTGTGAGCGAGCTCGAACGAAGTTTGCCGAACGCACCCGAATGTCAGTCGAGCGGGGCGCGGTCGCCGTCACGGAGCGGAGCTGGCGCTTGTCATCCGGCCGCCATTATCTCGTATTTAAACGGTTTCATAAAATCAATTAAAGTTCGCGCTGTCGTTGCATATATTCAGTGCGGAGTTCAGTATAGATTTGATAAATCGACGAACGTGTGATCAGCCGTCGAAGTATAGTGTATATCGGTTCGGTGGGAACAGTGAGAAGTGGTCCAGTTAGGTTACTGTGTGTCCGGTGGTATCACAGTGTAGGGTGGCTCCGGCTGGGCTGGGGCGTGTGGACGCGTGGGACGCGCATGCAGAGGGAGCGGTGAGAGCGCCCGGCGCGGGCTCGGGGCCGGCCAAGGCTCGGGGACAGCTGCCGACATGGGGTGCGCGCAGTCGGCCGAGGAGCGCGCGGCAGCGGCTCGCAGCCGACAGATCGAGAGGAACCTGAAGGAGGATGGCCTCCAGGCCTCTAAGGATATCAAGTTATTGCTACTAGGTATGTTCCTGCCGCTCGAGACGCGCCGCACGCGGACCGCACCCATACTCGTACATCGTAACGTTTTGGGCGTTACTTTCGGTTATTACGAGCTGTAAAGCTTTTATCTCTCGCTGTGGAAGATTTTCGTTGCATGGTAACGTAAGTGGTATTGATTGAGTGAATAAATCGGCTTTCTCTTGTAACTCATCAGTATGCTGGTATGTACAGTTGTTCCGCGTGCAAATGAAAGTGGCTATCGGCCTTATGCATTAGGAAGTGATTTATTTCTTTATTCTCTGCCTTGAGTATATTATGCTAAGTTCAATGACCCAGTGGGTCTGACCACATCAATGTTTTTGATAGTGTGGTAACAGGCAGTGATCCTATTATTAGGTCCAATATTGAACCTGATGAGTGAAAGCAATATGCTTGCTATAAACTATTCTAGAACAGTTCAACCATTTCTAATTGCTTACTAAGTCTAATTAAATAACTTAATATAATTTGGTCCCTTTGCTCAAGTTCTGTGGTATATCATTGTGTGCATCTATTTACCAATGACAGCCTATTTAGTTATCATGTGACTAACATCTTAACAATAATTAAGGATAACAGTGATATTAGAAAGCAAAATTAATACACACTGTAATTTGTATACTTCTAAAGTCAGCAACAATAGTTGATGACTGACTGAGTATATATCATTGTTACCTAAGATCAACTCTGTGTTAAATTCTGTGAATAATGTTTGTGTATTGATATAATTTATTGTTGAAATATTCACCATTGTAATGCTTGTAATATCAAAAGATGACCATAATCAAGAAATTTAAAAGAAAGTAACAACAGATAAAAACAATCTTGACTAGACTCCTATCTAAAAATTGTATGTAAAATGTTCTTACATAGGAACAGAGCCGTCTTCTGTACCTTGCAATGAAATGATTACATTATTTTTTTTACGAACGTGATGCCTTGAATTGGGTTCATATTATAATCCCAAACTATTCTGTACTTTAATGGAATTCAATGCATAAATAAATTAACACGCAAACCGAATTTTTCCAACCAAAATAACTTCATTGCACCTCATCCATAACCATATTGACTGCATCATACCTGTTGACTTTTGAACCTTTGCCAATGTAACCAAGTTAAGCCATTAAATTGTTGCCTAACACTTTGTCATGTGAATATTAACAGTATAGCACAATCTACTTAAATATATTGTCTGTAAATTATAATGTACACCTACATGTGATTTGTTCATACATGTAAAGTTCTCAGTTTACAGTGAGCTAACACGGTTGACTTTTCTCTTTTACCTTAGATTACCTGGGTGTGAGATGTCTATAGGAAGCAACAGTGCAACATACCAGATATTTTGGTATATAATACAAACTTAAGCACCAGATTGCTTAACTCAAATTGCAGTTTTAAATACAAACATTGTATTAATTTATAGTTTTCTATGCAGTCTTAAATACAATCTTTAATTAAAATTAAAATTTTAACAAATTTGACCAAGCTATGATAAATATTTCTTTTATTATTAAAATTTGTTTTTCATGCAAGTCTTATTGTTAAAGTTTTTATTCTAATATTGTATAAAATTTCATTCAAACATCCTTTTACATCAGTTGCAAAGTTCAAACGAAAATATGCCATCAAACTAAAATATATGAAACATGTTGCCTTGATCTTGACTGAACCTCATTGACAATGTGATTGCTTACCTGGCAAGTCGTTTCCCTTTGCTAATTACCGAATACATCAATACATCATCGCCGCCTTTTTTTGCTTTTTTTTAAGCAACTGAACATTTCTAAACTTTCGATTATTAATTATTGAATTGGTTTACATAATTCTTACTAGTATTTCTATGTTTACGCGAATATCCAAGGTTACGTCTTAATAAAAAAAAAACGGCCGAACGGTTACTATGCTGACCTGACACGCAGAGATCCCGAGCTCGATTCCCGGGCCTGGAGAAATATTTGTATGGGTTCCATTTATTTAGCTCGTGAGTTTGGGTAATGTGTGGTTGTCTATGTGTGGTCCATGGCACCCGCGACACAGGATTTGCCTAGCGCGGGGCTAGAGTGTGTGCGTTATTATTATTAATATTATGAACAAAGTCCCTCACCCCTTCAAGCGCCATGAAATTGGCAAGGTCCATGAGCGTTCGTATCCTCTGCCGCGGAACTATTATAAGTGTGTGCGTTGCGTTATTTTTTAAACTGTATAAAGTGGCTCCTCTCATTGATATTTTTATGAAAAAAATATTTACCCCAAGTTCTGTTATTGAAAACCTAGGTTTACGTTAAGTGGGTTACTATTCAATTTAAATCGAGATTTACTTCACTTAGTCTACACATATATACAAGCCATTTGGATAATTTTGGCAAATCGATGTGTCAGAAACTAAGAGCTTGTTTACAATTTCTTTAAATAAATAATGACTGACCTGTTGTTGTAGATTTTGTATTAGGTAAACAAGTTAATTAAGCTTTGATTAAAAAACAAGACTGAATTGTTGCTTATTTTTGCTAAGAAAATTTAAAATGTTTTTTGTTGAGTACGTTTTTCATAATTCGCGTATATATAAGATAACTTCTAGGTAAGTAATTAAAGTAGAGTATTTTTACTTAAAGCCCAAAGAAAAAGTGCTATATTAGTCACAGTCGTTAAGTCGAGGCATGAGTCACCCGTGTTTCCCATTTTCACGAGAAGCGGCAATCGATTTTGAATTCATAAACAACTACTCAGTACAGGCGTTTGTAAATTGAAACAAACTGACCGCTTTAATTGATTAATACCAATTACGTGTGTAAAGTCGTTTTATGACGCATTACTCCGTGCTAACAGGATTATAAAACAGTACAAGTCGACCGAAGCAATTAGATGCACAGGTGACACGTTTTCCATATAAGCATGCGTCTTATTATATTGATTTAAGTTTTCACGATTTTCACGTGTTATTTGATTTTAAAATCGGTTGCAACGTCTATGGTCTCGAAGAGACTGACGAGGCGGGTGTCAGAACATCTTTTAGCTGTGCGAGTTGTTCTAACTACCCGCAATTGTCTTCATCATTTTATTTGCGCACTAGGACTGTCATTCGAGACCATAGACGTTGCACCACGTCCGAAACGTCGAGGTAAATATTTTTTTTTTATGATACCAAGTGGTGGGACGAATAACTCATGCGCTTGGCGGTAAGTGACATGCCTATTTATAGCAGTTGCAGTGCCACTCAAAGTTTAAAATCGCAAAGATCTGAGGGGCACTGCCACTACGCCCTACATTCTGAGATATAAGTTGACAAGTCCTATGAGCCTCTAATTTCACCAGCACCCTTACTCTTTGAAACCAGAACACAGTAATGCTCACATTACCGCTTGGCGACAGAAATAGATAAGGTGGCAGCGCCCCTCGGTGACTGCTACTAAATGCTAAATATTATATACATTATACATGATTTAATCCGGTGTTAAAATCAAATAAAGCGTCATATTGTTTTGGGTAACTAAAGACGCGAAATATTGTATACACAATGTAAACAAAAATTAGGACTTATTCATCAGACTTCTTGAACGATTATGTTTCTTTTTGCTAGTTTATTATTAGTTACAATCGCAAACAAAATGCACTATTTAGTATTTACCTGGTAGTAATTTTTTGCTAATTTTCATCAGTCGGGTATGCGTGGAATGCGTCCATAACTTTACTCAATGCCCAAGTCAGGACTTGAGTATGATTTCAACAACTGGAAATACGACTCTAATGGCAAGGACTTGAGTATGATTTCTAGTGACTTGAGCATTGAATAGAGTTCTGGAATACGACCCTTAATGTGAACTGTTCGATTTCTTTTGATAAGAGTCCGTAATTGTTTACCAACTGGCATCTTTTCCTGCCACCCTCATAGAAATCCAATCTGTCATGTTTCTTTATTTCGGAGTTGTTTGGATCAGCGATATAGCGTAAGGTCGAAGTTAATATTAGCTTTGGAAAATATAATATGCGATATTTATAGCTAATATTTTGGCAGTAATGATTCATTGTTAATTATTAATAACACATTTTTTTAAACGACTTCAAAAAAAGGAGGACGTTCTTTATTCGACTGTATTTTTTGTGTGTGCATGTTACGCGATTACTCCGGCATTTGTTTACTCCGAATGTTTGACAATTTGGTATCACCAAAGTGTATACATATAAATCAATGACCTAAAGCCATATAAAGTTCGATGACGTCTGCCCTAGATTACGTACCAAGAAATGTAACGATTTATTGCTTCAATATATTCAGCCAATTATTGAAAAAAGTGTATCAACACTACGTCGATACGTTTGCAGGGTAAAAGACATTTTCAAGCAGCGGGAATTTCTTAATAGCCATTAGTGTTGATAACTTTCCTTTAAAGTTACAAGTTACATTCAATCTAGCCTTACCGAGCCATCGATCCCATATCTGTGTAAAGGTATAATTCGGAGCCATGTACGTATGTTCCGAGAATGTCGAGTGTGTCCAAGTTAATTGATGCGTCATGTCAAGATATCGTGACTGGAGCGGTTAGTGTGATTGGCGCTTTTAGAGGACGTTTGACCTGTGATTTTGCTTAGAAGTTACAGTTAAGGACTTTGTTCTTGTTCAACTGCCTCCGTAGCCGAACGGTCACCATGCTGGACTGCCACGCAGAAGTCCCAGGTTCGATTCCCGGGCCGGAAGAAATATTTGTATGGCCTACATTTATTTGTCTCGTGAGTTTGGGTGTAATTTGGGATTGTCTATGTGTGTGTCCATGGCACCCGTGACACAGGGTTTCCCTAGTGCCGGGCTATGTTGAGTGTGTGCGTTATTATTATTATTATTATTATTGTAGTAAGGTTTGTAGATGACTATTATAAATAAAGAGGGTACTTTTTCACTTATAACCAGTGATCGGAATCGTAGGAGTTAATTTAGCTAAACTAAAGAATAATAACGTGGGCATTCCCTTCTACAAATCTCG